ACGAAGTCCAGATGACATGATTCAACCTTTTTTGTCATGCATAATATCATTTGTTTTCACTGAACAGCAAACAGGTTTTCTTCAAGTATTTGCACATTGTGCCCCGATGCATGCTCAGTAATCCAGGTAGACAACTCTAACAAGATTAAATCATGTCCTCCGTCCAGAGGACCTGATTTAACCTTGTTAGATCTGTGCGTTTGTGTTCATTCATCTCTCTGTTAGTTCTGATCAGAGGTTTTCCTCCCACTGTTCAGCACCTTACATAACAGAGCAGTGCTTGGAGTTTTCCAGATGTTAGAGAGGCCAAACTGAGATGATCTGGACATATCCAGAGGAGGGACAGTGGGTATATTGGTAGAAGGATGTTCGAAATGCAGCTGCCAGGAAAATAAAGAAGAAGGCAAAAGGGCATGGAGGTAGTTGGAGTGAGGACAGAGTGAGATGGAGGAGGATGAGTCGTGGTGGCGACCCCTAAAGAGGAAATAAACAAATGAAGAACACTTAAAATGCAAAAAGTCCTGATCCAACCTCTTCTTTCCTTTATATTTTGCTTCAAATGAGCGAAGCTTCATTGTAATTGTTAACAGAACTTGAGCAATAATTTATTCCCCGGTCTTGCAGAAGCTAATTTCATGCACTTTAAAGACAGGATTCATTCTCAGTGCACATCGGCGTCGACGCCACATAGGTCTCTGAGCCGGCGATGAAGGCAGCCAGAGATCTGAACTGGCATGTGTGTGTGAAGTGGGAGGTGGTGCGAACAACACACTGCTCTTACCAACAATGCTTTTGTCTTTCAGCTGATTGTGCGATGCCAGACTGATGTGTGGGAGCACACATGATGCGAGGCCAAATGGCTTCTGGTGTGCTTGTGTGAATTACCGAAAGGGAACAGTGGCGAGTACAAGTACAACTTCTTTCTTTTGTAGTGATGAGGCACAGTGTGGAAATAAAGGATTTAGTTTTTTTTGGGACATTTACTGCATTTTCACACATTGTCAGTTTGGCGCTTATGCCTGATTAAAATTCAGCCATTTAGCTCTGATCGTTTAATAAAGTGATTATAAAAATACGACTTTTTGTTCAGTAGGTACGACTACAGGAAACATTTATTTCTTTTTGCCACATATATAAAATGCCCTACTGAAAACATTATTTAAAATTCACAATTGTTTGCTAAGTTGTTTGCCATGAAAACATACACTGATCCATCCTTTGGATCTGAATGAATGGATGATTGAAAACGAAAACGTATTTCATATGAAAGTGTTAAATGGCTTAACCTTTAAAAACACTTCAGAAAAGTACCTTGGAAGTGGCTTCATTCACAGAAAGTTATGAAAAACAAGTGCAAAAGCATCTGTTTTCTGAATAAACTCTTAAAACCTGCCATAGATCAGTAGAAGGCTTCAATTCACCAACTGAAGACTTTTGGATCAGTGGTGGAACGTCTCCAAGAAACAAGGGGAGACAACCAGTTTACTTTATACAACCCCTCAGGATCATCATGTCCTGAATCATTGAGAATCAACGTTGGTCAAGATTAAAATTACAAGGTCTTGCTCACTGAATGGAAAATATAAAGATGTTTTGTAACTTCTTGTCAGTAGGCCTCGACGCTCTGGCTAATGCCAACAAATTGGCTCTGACCAAGTCACAATCTATTTTCTCCATGATTTTTTAATGGATTTTTTTTTGTTTTGTTTATCAATAAATTTGAATAAATCTGAGGAGACTCTTTGTGGTTCCAATTTTTTTTTTTTCCCAAATGAGCTCCAGGGAAAACCTTTAAATATATGTATATTCGCTTGCCAAGGTCCATCTCACCACAGCTTTGTCATAAACTTTCATAAGAATTTCCCTAAACTTTATGGCTTATGTCTTGTTGGATCTCAAACACAAGTGTCTGCTCTTATAAACTCCATCCAAGCAGGCAATTTTACCACAACGTGACTCCGGTTTGATTCCAGACCCACAGCAAGAGTAAATAAAAAAAACAGGATGCCCCGGATCACAACTCTGAACAAATATAGGATGGTAACTGCACAAACACAATGAAGGGTGTGAGATATGGGGTGCCGTTTGTAAATTTACACAGTCAAAAATTAACAGCAATATTTTGGTTAATTTAGCCTTAATATGAAGAAAAAAAAAAGGTTTTTCTTCAAATTCATATTTTCATCAAGTTATTCATACATTTATAAATGTCATAGTTCCAAACTAAATATTTAATTTACAAGCTAAATATTTAGTTTACAAACTAAATACTTAACTTGCAAGTTAAATATTTAGTTAGCAAGATAAATATTTGATTACACAATACATATTTAGTTTACAAATGTATGTCCAAGCTAAATGTTTAATTTACATACTAAATATTTAACTTGCAATTTAAATATTTAGTTAGTGAATTAAGTATTTATTTTGGAAATTAAATGTTTAGTTTGGAAAATAAATATTTAGATCTGAGCTAAATATTTAGTTACTAAATTAAATATTTAGTTTAGGAATTAAATGTTGAGCTTAGAAAGTAAATGTTTAGTTTGAAAATTAAATATTTAGCTTGGAAATTTAACATTTAATTTACACCTAAATATTTAGTTCACTAATTAAATATTTAACTTGCAAGTTAAGTATTTAGTTAGTAAACTAAATATTTAGCTTATAAATTAATATTTAGTTTAGAACTATGACTTTTATAAACGTACGGATGACATGGTGAAAATATGAATTTGAAAAAAAAAATATTATGAAAGGCATAAACCAAAATATTGCTGGTAATTTTTTGACTGTGTAACTTTACAAACGGCACCCCACAGTGAGAGAGATCTATCTTACGGAAACATTCCTATTTCCTCACAGAATTCTCTTTTCTTGTATCAAAGCTGGCTCTTTTTGTCCCTATTCACCTATGGATGTTATGCATGACCACACAGTTGCTTTTCTCTGACTTTATAGTAAAAAATCAAGAGAAGACGAGTTACGGTCTGTGTGTGTGTTGTGTCAGGAGGAAGCCAGTGGTGCTAGCCCATGCCAGCCCCTACAGATTGTTGCTTTGTGCATTGTGCCCTAAGCTAGCTGTCCGTCATCCCTCACACAATGGCTGACTGTGCCCCCCCCCCCCCTTTTTCTTTGTTTCAAACGAACAAAATGCATGTTTGTGTGCAGATAAGTAAAGGTGTAGCACACCTAAATGAAAAACAATTCATCCTTTTGTATTTTCCCTGCAAGATGAGCAAATTAATGCTCAAGATTTTGAACACGTTTTAATAAATAAGTGCACAAGATTTTTAAAGTAATATTCAATTAACGTTTGAATCAGAAATGTGTTTTTACATTTCAGTGTGGATGTTGCTAGTTTTGGAGAAAGGAGCCATTTAATGCACAAAGGCAGCATCGATTTCAGTTAGAAAACATTAAGCTGCACAGTGTGTGCTCTTAAAGTGCACAAGGGTTCACTAACTGGAAATGTTTATGCAATGATTTTTTAATTTCAAAATTTTCTCTGCTGTGTGAGGAATGACTGAGACACCATCAGACAGAAAAATAAAACGGCTTATAAATTCAAACTGCTGGGGCTATAAATGCCTTTGTTAACAAAACTGAAATTGTATTTTTCAAAACAGACTCTTTCTTTTCATATTAAAGTTCTGGATGGAAAGAAAAAAGTACCTTGAATTGGGAAAACTAGTTTATGTTATAAGATAAGAGGAGATAAGATGAGATTGAACTTTATTGATCCTGCAGGATGAACTAAAGTAAAAACTTGCACATGAATTGCAATGATGTCATTTCTTGTGTACATTAGAAAATGTAAAACTGGAAAACTACCATACGTTCTTAAGATACTGTGCATGAAAATGACATGACCCTCTCACAAAGTGAGGCCTTGTTATGTGACACAATCTGTTTGGTAGGGGATCTACTTTGTAATTTAAATTTGCCACAGCATCCAATCACAGCTCCAGTTCATTTCCGGTAAAACGTAAAACAAAAATAGAGGAACGAGATCTGCATCTCCAACTGTTTTCACACCTGATAGTCCGGTAGACTCTGTTCGATTGGGGACCAAAATTCAGAACATTTGTTGACATTTTCATCTGGAGCGGTTTGCATTCACACTGCACTGTCAGTCGAGCCAACCTGTTCCCCCCCTCGCCTGTGGTGGCACTGCACCAAGAACTACTGAAGGAAACGACACAAAAACCTCTGAAGAAGACACTTCTTCTTCTGGAAATAAAAACAGAGTGGCGTCAAGTTTTAGGATTTCTGTTTTGTCATTTTTCAACAATGAACTCAGTATGAGCGGAAGATGAGGCTGAAGACCATGGAGAATGTTGTTTTTCACACAAGGTGGCTGACGGCTCTGTATGAGGTAAGAGAAATGTGTGTTTGTTTGCTCTGCGCTGTAGTCCCACTTCCTGCTTTTGGAGTGGTCTCCGGTCCGCTTGCATTCACACTGCATTCGAATCAGAGTTCACTTCAACTGAACCGAGACCTAGGTATTTAGGCGGACCAGAGTTCGCCTTTTTGTTCCGCATCAGAGTTCGATGGCACATTCACACCTCCCCAAACGAACGTTCTAGACAAACGGACTAGAGTTTGATTAAAGCGGACTAAACAGGGCTGGTGTGAATGCACCCTAAGGCTCTACTCCAGAGGTCAACAAGGTGGTGGAGCAAAAACATGCTGATATAAAGAGAGCTTTGAGCACAATACCAACAATGACAAATGTAAAGAAATAAAGTCAAAATCAGGCTTTTTTTATTTTTTATGTATAAAACATTTTTTGCTGTCTGATTTGTTTAATGTAAGAAGTTAATAAACAAAAGTTGGATAACACATTAGCTAACATGCTGCTGTGTTAATTTTCTAGCTAGCATGCACAGTTCATTGGTCTTTTCTGTGTTCATTTATTTACAAGGTCATGGAAAGCAGGGGTGCTGAGGGTGCTGCAGCATGCCTTGATAGAAGCCAAAGGACATACCGGTCCAAATACATGGTTAATGAATAATGAAAGCAGGTTGTAAAAGTGCAACAGATGTTTATATTGCAAAAAAAAAAGAGATATGTTAGGGTTTTGAATATCTGTTTTGGTTTTGTTTTATAAATGTGTGCAAAATTTTAGCATTTAAAACATGGTGATTTTACATAGCTTGATTTTGTCATCTGTGTTTGGTACAAGTGTCTTTTTTCTTTTCTTTTTGTTGGTGCTGTTGTTGTTGTTGTTTTGATTGGCTATGTGCTAATAATTTTGTCAATTGTAGTTTGCCAAAACACAAAGTATGTGAGAGCCATTCAAACTCTCACCCAAAGGACCCCCAATGGAAATAATTACCACAGCTTTGTTTTTTTGTTTGTTTGTTTGTTGTTGTTTGTTTGTTTGTTTGTTTTTTTTGGGGGGGGGCTTGTCTTAAAAAAAATAAATTAGCTACAAAAGTTGGATGCTTTCAAAAATCATTTTATCATTAACATAAACTTTACTGGTCCATGTGTTCTAAGAAAATTGTTAATATTTAGTATGTATATATAAATATTGTAATACAGCGCAACAATTCGTGGATTAACTAATTGTAATTACTGTATTTTCCAACATACAAGTCCATCCATCCGTCCATCTATCGCGACCGGAGCCGCTAACTGTCTAGCATTCCTCCACCTGAACCAGCTGAGTGAAAGGAACGCGCACAGGAGGACTCGCTGTTGCACTTCTTCAAAATTTAACAAGACTAACACTTAAAAACAATTATTAATTTGCTCAACGTTATAGCAAAGATGTGTTCCAGTTTAACATTTCTCTAATAAATGTATTTTAAAGGTCAAAACAGCTTAATTTTGCCTGGGCAGCATGGCTGCGTCCGTCCGTCCGTCCATCGCAGCCACAAGCTCTCCAGCGTTCCTCTACCTGCACTGGTTCAGCGAAGCACGCGTGCACAGGAGGACTCGTTGTTGCAGTTCTTCGAAATTTAAAGCGTCAGTCAAAAATTGCATTACGCATATGAAAAAAAACACGTATATAAGTCGCTTCGGCGTATAAGTCGCAGGACTGACAAATCTATGCAAAAAACTGAGACTTATACGCTGGAAAATATGATTATTACCTTAATCCAAAACAAGAAATGAATGCATCTCATACATTCAGTGGATTTTTACTCTTGTATCCATGCAGTCATATTAGTTTGTGCAAGATGACTGTTAACAGGATTAAAACTTGATCTCTAAACGGCACAAAAGATGCTCTCAAATTGTTTATTGATTTCTCCCATTTTGCTTCTCACTAGCAACAGACAATTATTCAGATTGAAAGATGCTAGTTTTTCCTTTGTGATTTGATTGTAATGTGACAAAAGGGTTTATCCAAGCGTCATTGTGGGAAAAGATGAGAACAAGCTGGCTCATTGGAAAATAATGAGAGGAAATAAGGATATTAAATGTAGCTGTTCATTCTTCATCACTTTCAAACGGAATTATATATTTTTTTATTATATAGGAATTTTATGCAGTGCTCATACTGTATCATGGAAATGACAAATACTGATTTAAAGAAATTAATTTCAAAATTCAGTTAAGACAATGCTGTGTTGATGCAAACATAAAAAACACAACTGTCTATACATTCTGTAGTCATTATACAGACTATATGTCCAATAAACATGGAATTTGTCTTGGCAATCAAAAAGGTTTAGACATATCACTTTGCATATGCCCCACGACCCAAGAAGGAAAAACGTGTGTAAAGAATATGACTAGATGGATATTTATTATGAAACGGAACAATTTACCAGATTTAAAAATCATTACATTGATAAAAAATATCATTTTTGTTGTGTAAACACACAAAGAAGGGGAGATTTGGATAACTCATCGCAAAACTCGATGTATTTTGACTGGTTTCTTATTGTTCTGTATTATCGTACATTTGTATTTCAGCTTTATGAGAAAAAAACTTACAATCATTGAGCAAGTAGAGATCAGATGTGTAATCCAAGGACACTTTAAAAAGGCAGACTGTCAATGTGAATAACATACTGTACGCTGAATGTTCTACCAGCATAAAAAAAAAAAAACTGAAACAAACTGATGTTACGTTTTGGACAAGATCTGTTGTGGGCTGCTGGTTCTGCTTTATAAAAGAGTTGATCACTCTCAGATCGTTTTGTACTTTAGAAAAATTCTAAACTGTATCTGAAATGAAATTTATTTCTGTATATTCTGAATTACCTGGAAAAAAAAAAAAGTCACTTCTTAATAAAAAAAAAGTGCTTTTATGCCAGGACCCCTTATAGAAATAATTCCGCTATTTTTTGGCAGAGATTAAAAACATATATGAACATAAATAAAGTGCAATTTTTTTAAAATTATTATTATTATTATTATTTTTATCTCATTGCTCTTTGTCAGAGCACTTGTAGCACACACATCAAATAAACAGCTCAAATTCAACTCGCTCTTTTCTCATGCACAGTCTAACCAGGTGAGGCATGTATGGTCTTACATTTTTGATCAGTTTTTAATGTTTGGGCTTGAACTGCTTTAATCATGTTGAGCCAGGATCACGAGCTTAGCTTCAGTCTGGTTGAGTCTCAAATAAGGTTAGCCAAGCTTGACGCAGTCTCTCTGCGGCCCTGGCGCTCCATGTGTCCCGAAACAGTAAAGATGTTCAAAACTCGGTCCACGAGCCTTCGTCCGTGCCTTGTCCTCTTAAGCAGGACAACCACAACAAAGTATATCCCGACACCCACAACAGCTGCTCCTCCTCCCGTTAACAAAACGACTCCAGAGATGTACATGTCATTGAGAGCTTGGCCAGGCTTTGGCATATGGTTAGCCAGAGCCAACTGAAGGAGGACCCCTCCACAAATCAACAGTGACAGACCAGTGAATAAAACCACTAAAATGTCTGACAATCCCCCGCTCTTCAGGATGTTTATCTGCCGTCTGCTTCGGACACAGTTCATGTCCTGCACAGCTGAGCTGAGCAACTGTTTGAGGAGTACCCCTAAGGCCAGCAGGCACAGGGCCGTGCCTGCCCCCAGCCTCCATTCGCTTGACACACTGGTGGTGGTGGAAAGAAGTCCAACTCCGCCGAGTCCACATCCCAGGATTAGAAGCACAGCGATGCAATAGCACAGTACAGACTTTCCAGGATCTCTGAACCACCACAGCTCCACCTGCTCCTCCAGGATGCTGTGCTGAATCTGGGCTGGGTCTGCTGGACCATTTAGACCCAGATCAGAGCCACTGGCTCCATTCAGGGGAGGAAAGTTGTCCAACTCTGGCATTCTGCTGCCAGTCCCAGACTGCTGAATATAGATGATGCCACAACAGGAATAAACTGGTCCTTTTCAGACTTCTTTATAGTGGAGGAAATTCTTTATAAGGAGGAAATTCCCAGGGTTAGGGTTCTCAAATGTGGCTGGAGGGGTTGGTAAATATTTTAGCAAAATGTCCGAAAATCCTCCAGTAAGCCAAGAGTACTTAGGTTTTATCTGCACTGGTATAAAAAAGGTTTTTCCAAAGTCAACAGCGATCTGTTTCCTTTGAGAGATAATCTTTAAAGCCCACACTCACTGGATACAAATTTGTCTTTTGCTGCATCAATATTCAAAGCAAGGAATCCAAGCAGTGGCAGAATTTTTAGTTTAGCCCTCCGCTGTGGCAGCAGTCACCTGGAAGATAAGACAGACATATATTCAGTGTTGCTTTATTTTCTCATGGGGTGCCTTCTCTGCCACTGATTCTGAGATCTATGGTTAGCAAAAGGCAATGACAGACTGGTGCATCCATTCTGTTCCTAACCAGACAATAAGTCACAGCACAAAAATAGATTCAGTACCCCCCCCCCCCCCCCCACCCAACACACTCCATACAAGCCTACTCACCGACAATGGCATTTCACAAACATTTATATGTGCACTATTTTTTTTTATTTCATTAGTTTAGAATGTTTTTTGCTCTTTGATGCAAGCTGAATAATATAAAAATAGTAATCGTAACCTTCTGTCTGGTTTTAATTTCAAAAATGTGCATTTTGACTGATGACTACTGTGGACACCTTAAATAAACATTGATAATTTAAACAAAAGATTTAATCTAACTATTTAACCACACAGTTTTGTCACAAACATGAGCAACGAAAAAGCAGTTTAAAACAAACGGCACAAAAAGTAAATGCATTTATATTTGGTTTGTGCTTTTGTTTATTTGTATATTTATTTATTTATTTTTTTAAACAATGCACCCTGACATTAAATCTAATATTATTGTAAAACTGGTTCATATCCCCTGAAATGGTGCCATATTTGTTAGGAAAATGTATTTGTGGGTAAAGCAGCATAGATGAATATGTGGGATGCAACCATTAAAAAATGTCCATACCTTCTCTACTAATGCCAAAAGACTTATTCTGTTATTGACTCATTTTCAGCTTCTGGTACCTCCAGTGGTGACAAGCATGTGCATGATGTGAGCAACCAGTGGCGATCCTTTAATCCCCACACACTGGGACCAGCATCCATCCTCTAAGATTATGCTCACTCCCAAAGAAAGAATCCTTATATTCAAGAAAACCCCAAAGATTTGGGTGGAGAAGTGCGAATGGCCTGTCCATAGCCCTGACCTCAATCCCAGTGAACAGTGGTGGTATCATCTTGAATGAATGTGCTGTGTGCCTCATTGACTGTGCAAACATGTTGGCTGACTTGCAACAAATGCTGATTGAGAATGGGATGCCATCCTCCAATAGTGTGTGACAAAGCTGATGAGCAGCATGCCAGGCTGTTGTGGCTGCGTAAGGCTCTTCCACTTGCTAATGAGGCCCCTATTTTTAAACTTCTATCTATCCATCCATTATCTTTACCCGCTTCTTCCTTTTTGGGTTGCGGTCATCACTGTTGCCCATATCCAGCAGTCGCTGTGTGAGAGGCGGGGTACATCCTGGACAGATCTCCAGTCCATCACAGGGACACATGGAGACAAACGAGACAAACAACCATTCACTCTCTCACTCACGCCTAGGGACAATTTAGAGTTACCAATCAGCCTAACATGCATGTTTTTGGTCTGTTGGAGGAAACCGGAGTACCCAAAACCCACACATGCAAGGAGAGAACATGCAAGCTCCACCCAGAAAGGTCCCTGGCCGGGATTCAATCCAGCGACCTTCTTGCTGAGAAGTGGCGGCTCTGCCAACTGTGTCACCGTGCCACCCGTTTGTACACTTAACAAAATTCAAAATTGCCCAAACTACTTTTTTTCTTTAGTCTTCAATCATCCAATCCAGTAAATGCCATCAACCAAGTCAATATTAGAATAAGATCTTGTCGTCTCCTCTCCACTGCAGAATGTCTGCATCACTGTGTGCTTATGTGCGGGGTGTTTTTTTTTCAATTTCAGCTTATCTTTCCTCGTCCAAGGAATGGGAGTCTTAGGATTTTTTTTTTGCCTCCAAATATACATGTTGTCACTCCCATTACTTTTCTGTCCATTTGAACAGATCTCGCATGTAAACGAGTCTTCGAGGCTCAATGTGATTTATCTGTATAAATAAAGGTTGAATGAATGAAAAAAGATGTTTGGCATAGACACTGAAGGTTTGGCAAGCTTTTCATGTACTGCACAACCCACATATGTAATTTCTTGGCAAATGTAGCATCAATCAAAGGCAAATAACCAAGCTTTCCAACTGTTTAAGGTTTATTTCGAAGAAGCAGTGTTACAACAACAAAACAAATCAATAAAAAAAATGTCCTTGCTTTCTGTGCTAAGTTTATTAAGTGCAGAGTTCTGAATGAGGTTTAAAACAAATCAGTGTTGTTTTAGGTATGAGGTAACTTGTTCCTTTAAATCCAAACTTTCTGTAACTTTGCGGCGCTCACAGTCACAGTTTTTCCTCAACACTTGCTGTTCTGACTGTGTAAAGAGGAAGAAAAAAACAATCTTGTGCTGACTGGCAACTTTTTTTTTTATCTCTCATTATCACTATGGTAATGAGCTGCCACAACAGCAGCGGCTTGTTAAGAGAAGCATCAGCTTTCGACGGAATGAATAATTCCTCTTTAAAGGCACATAAAATCCAGGAGCTGACGCACAAATCTTTTTCTTTTATATTTTCAAATATACATATGCTTTTCCACTAAATCCTGTAATTTTGAGTGCATTGCCAATACAGTTCATCTTAGGTTTTATTACAGATGAGTTAAAGGCTCAATACGTGTGACATGTGTTCACTCCCTGCTGCTTTAGTCTTTCCCTTAACTCAGCATATTGTGTCTCTGCTAATTATTTGTAACCTTATCAGTTCACCTTAACACAATCATGTTAGCATGTCCAGCATGCACAACATCCTGGAGATTATGGCTATCAACAGCTCATCTACAGTATAAACCATTTTTATTTTATTTTTTATAACCACTTATTGTCAGAATATGTGTGTGTGTGTGTGTGTGTGTGTCTGTTTGATACCACGATGTCATGAACTTCTTGACAATTTTTTTATGAGACCCTCAGAAATTCAATGTGGGATAAGATCTACAACGGATTAGGTTTTGTTCTCAATCCAAATCAGGATGGCTTCCATGATCAATCTACATTCATTAAAACAAAAAATGTCTATAATTCAGTGTATTTTACAGCTATTGAGCACAAACCAATGCAGTAGATGACAGTCTTTTATAACACTTGCTCTGAGTGTGACATCTCGTGACGACCAAAACAGCCACAACTCTGTCATTTCTCAACACAAGATGTTGTCTACAACTCTAGCAGGGAAGGTGGCATGTGCACATTCATTTTAAGTATTGCAATTTTAAAGAAATGCATCTAAATGCAAGGTCAGGTGGACTGGTTGTGCCTGACACTGAAGAGGAGCAGCAGCAACCTGACACGAGGAGATATAAGGTGCATAAGCAACGTGTGAAATGAAGAGTGAGGTAATTACAGCAGAGCGGGGGGGGGGAGGCGGTTGTTTATTGGCAACAAGCTGTCCTGGAAGCTTTTCACATCCTGTCTGATAAATAATCAGGGCATTACATGTGTGTTGAGGTGTGTGCATGAGGAGGAGGGGTGTAAGAGTCGTAATTGAGTTGTAAAAGGTGACAATGGAAACAAAAGGTGTTTTAATTGATATGATGTGCCTGCATAGGTTTCTTAGGGAGATGAAGGTGTATTTTGTGCATATGTGGTACGTGTTCATTTGTTCATCTTCGTGAGTAACTAATTAATCCCAGCTGGTTTCAGTTCAGTGACAGGTAGGACCACGAAAATAGCGCCATAATTGAGGTGTGTGCGCTTGTGGTTTTTCAGCATCTGGGAGGTTGAACCGCCGAGGTGACGACAATCTTCTACACAGAAACAAAAGGAAAGTTACCTCCTATTAAATTTTTGAAACCATCTCTTTGATTCATGTGGTACATTTTCATGAAATATTGTTTTTGTTTCATTTAATAGCCCCAAGAAACAAAGCGAGGAGACTACTGGAGCGTCAAACCTGCAACAACGGGTCGCAAAAAAGATTGCAAGATGAAATAAAACCCTTAATGACTCAACTTTATCTTACTTTGTGTTGTGTTTATCACAGTCCGATCAACGTGGACACACTCAGAAACACAACTGTTGGACTGTGTCGACCTCCACTTTTATATGACCTCAAAACTCAGCCTGATCATCCGTGTCATATTGTCCCCATAAATATCTCTGGAAAAGATCTGCTTCCCTGTTTTCTGACCTCTTTTTAAGTAATGGAAGATTGATAGAGACACAGATAATGCACACAACACTTGATTTGATTTTTCAAAGAATTCATTGCGCTGCTCATCTGGAAATCACTGCAGGCCTCAAATTTAATAACCCTGACTGAGGCTGAGACGAAAAACCAAAAAGTCAATCCGAAGCTGTGATTACTGAGCAATACAGTCTGACGTGAACTGAAAAAAAGATCCCTCTGATAAATTTACAGAACAGCTGATGTTTACAGCCCAAAGGAAACACTTTAGTTCTTTAAATCTCCATGTGCAGCTTTACAGTTTAGTAACTTTCCAGCCAAAGTCTCTATGGAAATGATTTCTGTGAAATGCGTAAAATATGGATTTTGTCATCAGCAACGATGTGAGGCCAAATAGATTTGGCTGACATGCTGGAGATAATGATAAAATAAAACTGAACCATATTAATGAAAAGAAGAACTAATTCTAAATGGCTTCATCACCCTCTACAATTCTAACTTTAGGATCTAATGTAATTCAAGATATGTACAGAATGAGTTACAGACGTTTGTTTTTTGAAA